CCTTGACGCCGGCACGCAGTGGCTTCAACTCTTGCGAATTTCGTCACGGGCTCTCTAAACGTCCAATGTGAAGGCGACGGTGCCTGGGGCATCATTACGGCTAAACACACAGACACAGACCCCCCGTACAGCCTTAACGGACTGTTGGGGCAAGTGCTGTAATGCGAGCAGCAGCACCTGTGAAGGCTGGCACGGCACACGAGGGGGTGGGTGGCCAGCACCACGCCCGGCCGCCTTTGTCTCCCCAGTGTCGATGCTTACATCGCATCGGACCAGGTACTCATTTGAGGCTGAGTCGACCTTGGGGAGGCCCAGGGGCCAGTTCAAATAATCGTCACCGGTGTTGGCCGTGAGCGGAAATCGAACTCGAGGCGCCGGCTTCGCGCGCTAACCGCTAAACTCCCGCTCCCCATTACGGCTAACACACTAACACACACAGCAGGTATTAATTAGGGCTGCTGCTGGGTTTGAACCGCGTACAGTCTCTGCAACGAACGATACGCGTGTGCTGCCGCTAGGCCGCGTCACCGCCTGATGCAACGTTTGAATGCAGCGCCCCTCAAATCCTTTACAGGCGAACGTTCGTTTTGGAGAACCCAGGAATTGCAAAGGGGCCGTCCATAAATGACGTCACGCGATTTTGGACGATTTTTTCCCCCCCCCCCCCCCCTCGTCACACGGCGTCACAAAAAGTCAGACCCCCCCCTCAAATATGACGTCACAAAGCTCCGCCCTCTCCCCCCCCCCCCAAAAAAAACATATTTCCATTTTTAAAATAAAAATCCTTCAAATCGCTTTAAACTATTGTCATTGCAGTGCGTATTTAATGTGGCGCTTCACTCTGATGTTGTAGGAAGAAACATTTATTAAAACGTCTATTTAATTAAGTAGAACGTGTTGCCTATATTAATTTAAAGTTGCGCATTTTTACGTGACGTCACATTTCTCACCCCCCCCCCCCTCGTCACACATCGTCACAAATGTCTTACCCCCCCCCCCCCTAGGTGCGTGACGTCATTTATGGACGGCCCCAAAGTAAGAATATATAAACGTTCCTTTGAAAATGCCTTCGTTATACACAGACCCAGGGAGGAGGAGCGGTGGTGCAGTGGTTAGCACGCTGCACTATGAATCTCGCCACTCAAGTTTTATTGCCGCTCAAGGCGGACATCGTGGGGGGTGAGAGCCGAACAGATCCTGGTCTGTCCCCTTCACTTTCCCATTGACCAGCGAGGTGAAGTATGGTCAAACAGTGTTATTATTATTACAACAGAAGATGTCATCCATCAATGGGTCTTCTTCCAAGGCAGAACCCTCCGCGTCTCATCCCATACAGAACCCCCCTCGTCTCATCCCATACAGAACCCTCCAATCCCATACAGAACCCTACAATCCCGTACAGAACCCTCCAATCCCATACAGAACCCCCCTCGTCTCATCCCATACAGAACCCTCCAATCCCATACAGAACCCTGCTAGTCGTATCGGGGTTGCTTTGGCGTGTCTCTCAAGTTCGTGTGCAGTCCCATAAGGGGCCGTCCATAAATGACGTCACGCACCTAGGGGGGGGGGCAGAGATTTGTGACGCCATATTTGAGGGTGGGTCTGACTTTCTGTGACGTCGTGTGACGAAGGGGGGGGGGGGGGAAATCGTCCAAAATCGCGTGACGTCATTTATGGACGGACCCAAATGTGCGTGAACACCGAACTCTCTCGCCTTCACCATCACGCAACTCACCAACCCGTCGTGGGGCATTGCCAAACATTTCTCCACGGGGTGGGGGGGGGGGGGGTCACCTCATCCAGCAGTGGAGTGGCAAAAAAGGCGTGCACGTGACGCTTCACTCTCTGTAGCAGAATCGCGGATTCACATTCTTGGATCTTTCGGAAAAGTCACGTAGAAGGGAAATAATGGTGAGTGGGTGGGTGAGTGTGTGGGTGAGTGGGTGGGTGAGTGTGTGGGTGGGTGGGTGAGTGAGTGGGTGAGTGTTTTGGTTGGTGGGTGTGTGAGTGAGTGAGTGAATAGGTGGGTGGGTGAGTGATTGGGTAAGTGTTTGGGTTGGTGAGTGGGTGGGTGAGTGTGTGGGTGGATTGGTGGGTGAGTGGGTGCGTGAGTGGGTGAGTGAGTGGGTGAGTGTTTTGGTTGGTGGGTCGGTGAGTGAGTGAGTGAGTGAATAGGTGAGTGGGTAGGTGGGTGAGTGATTGGATAAGTGTTTGGATTGGTGAGTGGGTGGATGAGTGTGTGGGTGGATTGGTGGGTGAGTGGGTGAGTGGGTGAGTGAGTGGGTGGGTGAGTGTTTTGGTTGGTGGGTGTGTGAGTGAGTGAATAGGTGGGTGGGTGGGTGAGTGATTGGGTAAGTGTTGGTGTTGGTGAGTGGGTAGGTGAGTGTGTGGGTGGATTGGTGGGTGAGTGGGTGAGTGAGTGGGTGGGTGAGTGGGTGAGTGTTTTCGTTGGTGGGTGGGTGAGTGAGTGAGTGAATAGGTGAGTGGGTAGGTGGGTGAGTGATTGGGTAAGTGTTTGGGTTGGTGAGTGAGTGGGTGAGTGTGTGGGTGGAAGGGAAATAATAAAATAATACAAATAAAACATAATAAAATTCTCACGACGTTTCGGCCACAACACAAGCAGCCGTCCTCAGGTGAAGAACCGGGCTGTCTAAGTGACTTTACCGGAAGATCCAAGAATACGAATCCCTGCAGTCACGAAAGCTTTAAATCGAAATGGAATCGCGGTTGTCGGATATGAGCAGTGCCGGATTATCCCATAGGAGCAAAAGCAGCTCCATATGAAACGTCGTAGTTTTTTGTAAGTTTTTTTTAATCCTATCTACTTGACTTTGTCGAAAGACCAAATAATGTAGCCGCATATGCTACGGGCCCCGAACTTTCAAGCTAAACGCTTTCGAGCTATCAATTCCGGTTCAGTGATTCTGCACTTGCTCTATTGCCACAGTACTATACCGCCTTCAACTTTTACGAACGACCGGGTGTTTAAGGTTAGCGATTTGTCGTATTATCTGGCTGTATAGCAAATTAAAAAATACAATGACTTACTTTACTGTGCAAGTAAAACATTTGTATTTTAATATTTATGTGTTTTATTTTTTTTATTTAGGTGTCCCCTGATAACAACATTTGCTGCAGCCCCTCACTCGCTTCATCCGGCACTGGATATGAGTCCCGCTCACGGCCACCAACAACCCAGTGACGATTATCCGAACCGGTCCTGCGCCTCCCCTAGGTCGACTCAACCTCAAATGAGTACCTGGTACAGGTGTGCAATTAACATCGCTAGCACTGGGGGAGACAAAGGCGGCCGGGCGCGGTGCTGGTCGCCCACTTCCCTCTCGTGCCGTGCCGGCCCTCATAGCTTTCTGCTCGCTAGCGGCACTTGCCCCCATCGTCTGCCGAGGCTCCACGGGGGATCTTTGCCTGTGTCTAGGGGGAGCGGTGGTGCAGCGGTTAGCGTAACGCGCAACGATGCGACAAACTCGAGTTCTATTCCGGGCCACGGCTCGCATCAGTGGCGAGATGACATGTGAACCCCCCCCAACCCCCACCCCTGATCCCTCACCCTACCTCCCCCTCACCCTTCACACAAACCGCGCCGACCAGCGTGGTGAAGTATGGTTAAACAACACGAGGGGGCCAAGGCGTGTGGGGGGGGGGGTGTGGGGGGGGACCTCATCCAGCAGTGGATTGAGGCTGCGCATGCGCAGTGGGCTCACCACCTCCTCTGGGCAGCCACCTGAACCACGGAGGCTCTGGGTCGATTGTCAGAACCTGCAATTCAGTTCTCGATTTAAAGCTTTCGTGACTGCAGGGATTCATCTTCTTGGTTCTTTCGGTAAAGTCACGTAGAAGGGAAGTAATAAAATAATAATAATAAAATTATTTTATTACTTCCCTTCTACGTGACTGCAGGTATTCATCTTCTTGGTTCTTTCGGTAAAGTCACGTAGAAGGGAAGTAATAAAATAATAATAATAAAATTATTTTATTACTTCCCTTCTACGTGACTTTACCGAAAGAACCAAGAAGATGAATACCTGCAATTCAGTTCAGGCGTAGCGATGCCGCTACAAAGACAAAGATCCCCCGTGTAGCCTGTTAACAGACTGTAGGGGCAAGTGCTGTTAGCGAGCAGCAGCAGCACCTGTGAAGGCTACCGGCACTGTGGCACACGAGGGGGTGGGTGGCCAACACCACGCCCGGCCGCCTTTGTCTCCCGAGTGCCGATGTTTTACTACACACCACACCGGGTGCTCATTTGAGAGCTGAGTCGACCTAGGGGAGGCCCAGGACCGGCTCAGATAATCGTCACCTGGTGTTGGTGGCCGTGAGCCGGATTCGAACTCGGCTGGCCGGGGTTCGTAGCGTGGCCCCGACCGCGACTGCCCCACCGCTCCCCACAAGGTCTTCGTCACAAACGAATCGCTGCCATCCGACTCGGGCGGTGGCAATAACCCGGACAGGTGGCAACCTCAGCAGGCGAGTGACCGAGTGGGTTTGGCGAGCGAGGGATTGAGCGGCCTGGAGAATGAATGAGTCCAACGGGTTTGGGTGTTGCATCTCCAACCTCCTTTTCTCACCGTGCGTCGTCAACCGCGTTCATCGGAGGTGGCCGAGTGGACGAGCGGCTCGGGGGTTTGCCAACTTCCCACCCTCCTATAGACCCCTCCCTCAAAAGCCCCCTGAATTCTCAGTCTGTCCAGGTGGGGCGAGCCGAGGTCACACGACCCCCGGAGACCTCGAGCGCCTCTGCGCAACTCCCCCCCGGGACTTTCCTCCACCTGGGCCACCGCGGTCACCTGGAAGTGTTGGTGACCTCCCCCTGACCCCGAGGACACGGCGCTCACCTGGAGGTGTTGGTGACCTCCCCCTGACCCCGAGGACACAGCGCTCACCTGGAGGTGTTGGTGACCTCCCCCTGACCCCGAGGACACGGCGCTCACCTGGAGGTGTTGGTGACCTCCCCCTGACCCCGATGACACGGCGCTCACCTGGAGGTGTTGGTGACCTCCCCCTGACCCCGAGGACACGGCGCTCTGCCGGGGCGCGTGGTGGAGGTTGCCCTCCTCGGCGACGGCCTTCTTCTCCTGCTTCTTCTTCTTCTTCTTCCCGTCCGGCCGGCCCGACGTCGTCTCCACCGCCGGCCCCCTCTTGCCGCCGCGCAACCTTCCGTACGCGACCGCCACCAGCGCCGCGGCCAGCAGCACCGCCGCGAGCGGCAGCACCACGTCGAGGTGCGGCACCTTCTCCTCCAGCCGGGCCAGGGGCGCCTGCATGGCCGGGTACCTGTGGGCCAGCGCGTGGAGGGCATCCACGGTGTTGGGCACCATGAGCTCGAGGCGGCCGCGCCAGGCCTCGAGCTGCGCCGAGACGGTGTCGGAGGCTCGCGACGCGGCCACCGACGCCTCCTCGACGGCCGTCCTCAGCTTCAGCGCCGCCGCCTCCAGCGCCGGCTTGAGGTCGCCCTGGAGCTTGGCCGTCAGCTGCTGCAGGTTCGCCCGCAGGCCTTCGATTGCGGACATCGTGAGCTCGCTCGGGGGGGGGGGGGGATTTGTGGATCACGCAAGGCTGGAGGGGTTCTGCATCGAGGGGGGGGGGAGAGGCGGCTGGTAGCGGGAGGTTGAGGAGTCGAACCCAGGTGGTTCAAAGTCCGCGCTTCACCGACTTGGCTCCGGCGTTCTTGGGGAGGCTCGGGGCGCGTTCTCGTCGAGGTGGAGTGGAGGCGGTGGAGGACGGCGCTCGGCGCTCGGCGTGCGGCGGCGGTGTGACGGGGCCTCTCGGGCGCACGCTCTGCCACTGCCGCTGATTCGCTCGCCGTGGAGTTGAGCTCGGCTGTGGGGAATGTTTTTTTTTGCTGAGCGTGAGAGATGGCAGCGAGAGAGGAGAGGGGGGGGGGAGACACATGGGGGTGGGGTGGGGGTGTCGTGCTAGCGGAGGAGCTATTTTGTCTCGTGCCTGATGAACGAGGTGGTGGGGGGTGGTGGGGGGTGGTGGGGGGGGTAATTCGAGGAGACGAGACTGGATTTGGGTCATGTCAGACGTGGACAGGGGGGGGGGGTGGTGGTGGTGGCGGTGCAGAGGGGCGATAAAGGAGAGGCAGGAGATGGATCGAGAGGCGTGAGAGAGGGAGATGATGGGATGGGAGACTGGAGTGGAGGAGGTGGAAGAGGTGGAGAAGTGTCGAAATATAGGAGACGGGAGAACTCAAATGACGGGAGAAGATTTTAAATAAATATAGGAATGTGTGTGTACGCTGGTGGAGGAGGAGGTTGTTGTGGTAGTGGTGGTGGCTCGCAGGTAGACCTCACACTCGGATAGTTCAAAGTTCAAATCCAGCCCGGTGATTGGCTCTGCCCATCATCATTCTCCGGGGAGGGTCGTTAAAATGAGTACCAATCCCTTTGCAAGCTGTGATTGGCGAGCATCGGGTAGTTCGGCAACCAAAATAACAAAATTAGCCAATTTTTTTTTATTCGTTAAGAGCCCCCCACCTCAATATTTCAAGATCCACAATGCATGTCAATGTAACATCACTACCAGCAAGTCCTTGATGATCCACAATGCATGTCAATGTAACATCACTGTATGAAGTCCTTGAAGGTCCACAATGCATGTCAATGTAACATCACTGTATGAAGTCCTTGTAGACCCACAATGCATGTCAATGTAACATCACTGTATGAAGTCCTTGTAGATCCACAATGCATGTCAATGTAACATCACTGTATGAAGTCCTTGTAGATCCACAATGCATGTCAATGTAACATCACTGTATGAAGTCCTTGTAGATCCACAATGCATGTCAATGTAACATCACTGTATGAAGTCCTTGTAGACCCACAATGCATGTCAATGTAACATCACTGTATGAAGTCCTTGTAGATCCACAATGCATGTCAATGTAACATCACTGTATGAAGTCCATGTAGACCCACAATGTATGTCAATGTAACATCACTGTATGAAGTCCTTGTAGATCCACAATGCATGTCAATGTAACATCACTGTATGAAGTCCTTGTAGATCCACACTGCATGTCATTGTAACATCACTGTATGAAGTCCTTGTAGATCCACAATGCATGTCAATGTAACATCACTGTATGAAGTCCTTGTAGACCCACAATGCATGTCAATGTAACATCACTGTATGAAGTTCTTGTAGACCCACAATGCATGTCAATGTAACATCACTGTATGAAGTCCTTGTAGACCCACAATGCATGTCAATGTAACATCACTGTATGAAGTCCTTGTAGACCCACAATGCATGTCAATGTAACATCACTGTATGAAGTCCTTGTAGACCCACAATGCATGTCAATGTAACATCACTGTATGAAGTCCTTGTAGACCCACAATGCATGTCAATGTAACATCACCGTATGAAGTCCTTGTAGACCCACAATGCATGTCAATGTGACATCACTGTATGAAGTTCTTGTAGACCCACAATGCATGTCAATGTAACATCACTGTATGAAGTCCTTGTAGACCCACAATGCATGTCAATGTAACATCACTGTATGAAGTCCTTGTAGTCCCACAATGCATGTCAATGTAACATCACTGTATGAAGTCCTTGTAGACCCACAATGCATGTCATTGTAACATCACTGTATGAAGTCCTTGTAGACCCACAGTGCATGTCAATGTAACATCACTGTATGAAGTCCTTGTAGACCCACAATGCATGTCAATGTAACATCACTGTATGAAGTTCTTGTAGACCCACAATGCATGTCAATGTAACATCACTGTATGAAGTCCTTGTAGACCCACAATGCATGTCAATGTAACATCACTGTATGAAGTCCTTGTAGACCCACAGTGCATGTCATTGTAACATCACTGTATGAAGTCCTTGTAGTCCCACAATGTATGTCAATGTAACATCACTGTATGAAGTCCTTGAACACCCACAATGCATGTCAATGTAACATCAATGTGAGCCCTTAAAGAGCCCCATGGCGCTGCTTCTGCCAGCAGGCGGCGCGATCCGCCTCGAGCCGAGCCACTCGGCACGGCAAACACACCGCCCGGGGGCATCTCCCCGATGTGCGTAATTCGAAGCGAGGGGTTTGATCCAGTGCCGGATGAAGCTAGTGCGGGGCCTGTAGCATACGTTATAAACGCGGCTCTAAATATAAAAATATACGTAAATATTCAAACACATACATCATTGGAACCTCCTTTGCCAGTAGCAAAATATGATAATTGTTTTTTTACCCTTTTATCTGGCAGCAAAACTGACACTTTTTTTTTACAAGGTGTCATGTTTGCATTGACCACAATACCTGCGGTCGGAATGCAAACAAAAAACACAACTCTGATAATGTATGTGCACTGTCCTTGAAATTGATTGGTCCACACCCGAGACAGCTTTTATTAGAGTCTAGTCTCACATGGTGTTGGACCAGATGACGCCAAAAGGCGCACAACTCAAAGACAATGCACCATCAGAGTATGAGAGCTCGGGGTAAGCATTTACACCATTGGAACCTCCTTTGCCAGTAGCAAAATATGATAATTGTTTTTTTACCCTTTTATCTGGCAACAAAACTGACACTTTTTTTTTTACAATTTGTCATGTTTGCATTGACCACAATACCTGCGGTCGGAATGCAAACAAAAAACACAACTCTGATAATGTATGCACTGTCCTTGAAATTGATTGGTCCACACCCGAGACAGCTTTTCTTAGAGCCTAGTCTCACATGGTGTTGGACCAGATGACGCCAAAAGGCGCACAACTCAAAGATAATGCCCTATCAGAGTATGAGAGCTCGGGGTAAACATTTACACCATTGGAACCTCCTTTGCCAGTAGCAAAATATGATAATTGTTTTTTTACCCTTTTATCTGGCAACAAAACTGACACTTTTTTTTTACAATTTGTCATATTTGCATTGACCACAATACCTGCGGTCGGAATGCAAACAAAAAACACAACTCTGATAATGTATGCACTGTCCTTGAAATTGATTGGTCCACACCCAAGACAGCTTTTCTTAGAGCCTAGTCTCACATGGTGTTGGACCAGATGACGCCAAAAGGCGCACAACTCAAAGACAATGCACCATCAGAGTATGAGAGCTCGGGGTAAGCATTTACACCATTGGAACTTCCTTTGCCAGTAGCAAAATATGATAATTGTTGTTTTACCCTTTTATCTGACAAAAAAACTGACACCTGCGGTCGACCGCAGGTATTGTGGTCAATGCAAACATGACTCCTTGTAAAAAAAGGTGTCAGTTTTGTTGCCAGATAAAAGGGTAAAAAAACAATTATCAAACACATACATGTTTAACTTGCATAGTAAAGGAATTGTATCTTTTTCATTTGCTATGCAGACAAATAATACGACAAATCGCTAACCTCAAACACCCAGTCGTTCATAAGAGTTGAAGGCGGTATAGTACTATAATAATAGAGCAAGTGCAAAATCACTGACCCGGAATTGATAGCTTGAAAGCATTTAGCGCGGGGCCCTTGAAAGTGCCGGGACCCGTAGCATTTGATACTTTTGCTACTATCCACCCAATTAACGCATCACAGATTCGCCCCCATTGCTTCCACTCATCTACAGGATGCTTAATTTTGTAACAATTTGCAACAATAACCATGAGAAATGTGGCGCCTCTGGGCGCTGGAGACCACCTGGAGAAGATTGACATCGATGGCGAACAAGTGGGAGACTGACTAATTGATACTATTAACATCACATTTGTTATTATGTTGACAGCGTATTACTCTGACTTAAAACTTTCGTGACTGCAGGAATTCATTAAAAAAAAATGTAAATAATAACAAATAAAAATAATAAATTGAAAATAATAAAAGCAAAAAAAACCACAATAAAAATAGTCAAATTAAATTAATTTTATTTCACTATTTTTTTTTACTATGCTCAATGAATAAATGGGAAATTTAAATAATTAATTATTTCCCCCGTTTTCTATCTACGTGACTTTGCCGAAAGAACCAAGATATACAGCGTATTACCCGTTCTTTTCCCATTAAAAACGAGAGTCCCATATAAGTGTTAACATTTGTTTGAAGCACCCTGTATTTCACTCACCTCATCTCCACCATTACATTCGTACGTTGTAGCATTGTCCATTCTGTGTAAAGCGCCTTCGAATGAGGCGCTACAGAAATGTCTTCAAGATACAAGGTAAGATTGAGTCGGAAACGTCAATCGCAAGAGACAATCTCAAGGGTCTCCCAAGACTCGTGGAATCAAGGAAGTCCGTGGCGAGAAAATCTCAGTGGACTCTCAACCGGTTACAATAAAATGACATCAATCTCAAACGACAAAGGAAATCAAATGGCACTCACCTGGTTTTAAGAAAAAACTACGGTATTTTACCAAATTTTTTTAAATTATACCAGGTAAGGTCCACTGAGCTATGTAGCTCATTTTCAGAAGCGACCTGGACGACAAATGATAGCAGCTCAACAAAGTGGCCTCGAGAGAGACTCAGACTCCAAATATACAGCAGCAGGCATCGTCATGGTCGGGATTGAACCCACGACCTCCTGTATACCAGGCGAGGTAGTCAACAACTCATAGCCACCGTGATGATTATGAGAGAGAGAGACACGCAAACTCCAAATATACAGCAGGTATCGTCAGGGTCGGGATTGAACCCACGACCTCCTGTATACCAGGCGAGGTAGTCAACATCTCATAGCCACCGTGATGATTATGAGAGAGAGAGAGACGCAGACTCCAAATATACAGCAGGCATCGTCAGGGTCGGAATTGAACCCACGACCTCCTGTATACCAGGCGAGGTAGTCAACATCTCCTAGCCACC